GGAGGAGGAGGAGTGAGGAGGAGAAGGGGGAGGAAGAGCGAGGAGGAGGAGAGGAATAGGAGGAGGAGGAGGAGGATAAGAAGAAGAAAAAGAAGAAGGAGGAGGGGAGGAGGTGAAGGTGGAGGAGCGAAAGAGAGAGAGAGAGAGAGAGAAATAGAGAAAGAGAGAGAGAGAGAGAGAGAGCGCGGGGGAGGAGGAGAAGGAAAAGGAGGAGGAGGAAGAGGAGGAGGAGGACGGGGAGGGGCAGGAGGAGGAGGAGGAAAACGAAAAGGAAAAGGACACGACTATCGACGTGTTCATCAACTACCGAACCTAGGCGTTCCATGGGCCCGAAGGAGCCGTCGGCGTGAATCCACGTCAGGAGTGGACGTGCTGAGCGGCAGCGTTCTCCGCGGATGGTGTAATGCAACGTTTCCAACGACTGCATAATAGCTATCTATGGCATTGTGCTATATTCTTATGTATCCCCCCTAAGCCCCCCCGAGCCGCGCCACAGCGCTGTGCCAAATCTGGAGGCCCTCATTCCGGGGCCCCAAACCTACAAAAACATATGGAAATCAACAAGTTCGGCCTCTCGGGCCTTTTGGCCTCCAAGAGAGCCTCAAGATGGCCCACGATGGCCCCAAGACGGCCCTGGATGGTCCCTAGAGGGCCCGCGAGGCCCGCAAGACGGCGCAAGGGGTTCCAGACTCTGTACTTGGCCGTCTTCGGCCGCGGAGCCTCCATTTCGAGCCCTCGGCCCCCAGACGCCCCCAGGAAGCCCAAAGAGACTCCCAAGAGGCGCCCCAAGAGGCCCCCCAAAAAGTCCCAGGAGGCCTCCAAGCAGCCCCCAAGAGGCCCCCAAGAGGCTTCCAGGAGGCCTCAAACTGCCACCCATAGGCCCCCGAGAGCCCTCAGAAGAGACCCTAAGGAGCATCCCTGAGGATTCTGACCCACTACCCATGCACGGTGGCGGGACGGGCCGCCACTCCGACCCACTACCCAGGCACGGTAACGTTCTCGCCTTTTCAACCCTCAGAGACCCATGACGGCCCAAGCAGCCTCCAAAATGGCCCCAAGACGGCTCAAGAAGCCCTCAAAAAGCCCCCATGGCGGCCCAAGCGGGCCATAAGACGGCCCAACTCAAGAGGACCCCAAGACACCTCCTAGAGGCCAAAGAGAAGCTCCCAAAAGGCCCCGCAACGACTGGACTGTACGTGCTCCGGACGTGCACCCCGCGAAGCGAAAGGAATCAAATAGTCGGAAATCAAGGAACTTTGCGCGACGTCGGACCGCAGGAAGCCGATGAGATGTCTGGGCCACCCGCGAGAGGCGCCCACAGCTTTCAAGCGAGGGAGGGCGAACGGGAGGGTTGGGGGGCTGGTACAGGGGGGGAAGCGTCGAGCTGGCATCGGCGATGCATCGTCTCCAAATCGGCGATAAGCCCCGGCTAGCGAAACCGCACGGTCGTGAGCGATGTGGACTGTCGGGCTGCTATCGGCGATCAATGGGCGATTGGGACTCGATGCGTCCCCTCTGAGCCTACCCCCCCCCTAAAGTTGCCTCTGAGAGAGGGAGGGCGAGAGGAGGTACTGGTAATCATAATGGTGCGCGGTCGTGGAGTCCGCCTCGCCGTCGCGCGGCTTAGGCACATTGGCCTCCTCGATACTCTCGGCCCTGGCTTCCTTACGAGCCAGCCGCAACTGCTTGGCCAAATTCAACCGCCAAGTCGGGCTTTTCAGAACCGTACAGGCTGGGGCGAAAGGTGGGGAAGGTGGGGAAGGATGCGCGATAAGGATGCAAAGGCCTTGGGCGCCCATTTCGAAACTTTTCGAGCGGGGCACGGCCAACGAAAGCGGCCAAGGATGGGCCGAGGAGGCAAGGATGCACGGGTACCCTTGGCAAGGTTGCCCATCCTTACTGTGCGGGTTGACTGCAGGAGGACGCAGCCCGAAAATTACACGGGGGTGTACCCTATCCACCCAAGAAGTTCTGGCAGCACCCGAGGGTGGTGAGGTCTCGATCGGACGCCCCCGAAGGCCCCTCCCGCGGGACACACCAGGGCGCATACGGCCGCACGCTTAGTAGAACCTGTTGGGTCCGCTTGAGGGAGAGCAATCCGCTGGACCCTTCAGGCGCGCAAGAACGCGGCGACGGTCGCACGCATGGCAGAATCCAGGGACGGCTACTGGGGGCCTGCAACTTCATGGGAAGCGAACAAAGAAAGGATACAGAGGTCGTAGGAAATGCGGATAGAGAACCTTGAGACGCACAGAAAACTGATGAAGAGAGGACGCACGAGGAGGCGGGAGAGGAAGCAACAACAAATGAGAGCCAGAGGTCCCAACCGCAAGCGGGGTTGGGAACGTATTCCAATCGCTGCGGCAGGGTGACGGGGAGTGAGGGAGGGGGCGCAAGAGTATGGAGACGGTAGAATGCATGGCGAAATCGAGGGATGCAGAAGGCCAAGCGGAAGGCACCTTTCCACTGCAGCCCGAAGGCGTGAACAGGAAACGAGAAGAGAGCCCACGGCCCAGAGGCCCAGCAGATTGCCCGACCATGGAGAACGTCGAGCACACGAGGTCGAAATGCCAGCCCCCCGTGCAAGCGCCACGGGGCTGGGGAGTCTGCCCCGCGGTCACGGGCGACCCGGGCGACCTCGATCTCCGGGGTATCCGGCCCCCTCCTCCGCCGCGCCGCTCCGCCCCCCCTCGGCCGCCGCCTCACCCTCCACCTTCCCCACGAGCCTTCCGCTCTGGCGCTGCCGAATAGAAGGGGGGAGGAGAAGGAGGGAGGAGGAGGGGGGAGGAGGAGGGGGGAGGGGGGGAGAGGAGGAGGGGAGGAGGAGGACAAGGCGGAAGAGGAGGAAAGGAGGAGGAGGACGAGGAGGGAAAAAGAGGAGGAAGGCGGAGGAAAAAGAGGAGGAGGAGGAGGCGGGAGGAGGAGGAGGAGGAGGAGGGAGGAGGAGGCAGATGAGGACAGGAGGCGAGCAGATGCGCAGAGGAGGAGGAGGAGGAGGAGGAGTAGGGAGGACGCGAAGCGGAGGATAATAAGAGGAGGCGGAATGAGGAAGGACTGATAATGTAGGAGGCGGGGATAACGCACTCCGTGGGCGCCAGTGCCCCTGCTGCTCCTCCTACTCTGGCGACCTCAGTGCTCGTGCTGCCCGCTCGCCCCTACCTCCTTCTGAGCCCTCCTCCTCCCGTGCTCCTCCTCCTCATCCTCACCATTCTCCTCCATTTCCTCCTTCCTCCTCGTCCTCCTCTCCTTCCTACCTCTCCTTTCCTCCCTCCTCATCGTTCTCCTCTCCTTCCTTCTCTCCTCCTCATTATCCTCCATCTCCTCCCCACCTCCTTCCTCACTCCTCCTCCTCTCTCCTCCTCATCATCATCCTCAGCCTCATCATAATCAACACACGATCTTATCTCATCCTCATCATCATATCTCATTTCATCATCATCATATCATCGTATCACCACCACCCACTACCACCACCACCACCACCACCACCACCATCATCATCATCATCATCATCATCATCATCATCATCATCATCATCATCATCATCATCATCATCATCATAACCATCATTATCATCAGCATCATCATCATCGTCATCATCATCACCATCATCACCATCATCACCATCATCACCATCTTCATCATCACCACCAGCATCATCATCATCAGCATCGTCATCACCATCACCATCATCATCATCCTCATCCTCATCCTCATCCTCGGCCTCATCCTCATCCTCATCCTCATCACCACCACCATCACCACCATCACCACCACCACCATCATCATCATCATCATCATCATCATCATCAGCATCAGCATCAGCATCAGTATCATCATCATCATCATCATCGTCATCATCATCATCATCATCATCATCATCATCATCATCATCATCATCGTCATCATCATCACTACCACCACCATCATCATCACAACCATCCCCTCCTCCTTCTCCTCGTCGTCCTCATCCTACTGCTCGCTGCTCCTCGCTCCTGCTCTCTCCTCCTCGCTCCTCGGCGCTCCTCCTCGCTCCTCCTCGATCCTCCTCCTCCTCCTCGTCCTCCTCCTCCTCCTCCTCCTCGTCCTCCTCCTCCTCGCTCCCCCTCGTTTCTCCTCCTCCTCTTCCTCCTCCTCCTCCTCCTCCTCGCTCCTGTCTCCTCACATCTCGTTCCTGCTTCTCCTCCTCCTCCTGCTGCGCGCCTTGGCGGCCGGGGTGCCCCCCTCGCGCCGCGAAGGCGTAGCGCCACTGGGGGCACTCGTCGATGCCCACCACTCGCAGGGTGGGGGGGGCGGGGGGCGGGCCCGAGCGCGGGGGGATCGAGGAGGAGGGGAGAAGGAGGAGGAGGAGGAGGAGGAGAAGGAGGAGGAGGAGGAAGACCGGTGTAAACCCAAATCTCGTCGACGATTTTGAATTAGGCCCCTGCAAAAGGTCAAACTCCACTGAGGGAACTGCCCCGTTGGGGACCAACCATGTGAACATCTTGAAGCGTGCCAAGACACGGTTCTCAGGACTGCAAGGGCAGCGTTCCTGGGACTTGAACGCCGCGAATCAAGTTAACTGTTGCGCCCTGACAATCCTGAATGGTTCGAAATCAAAGTCTCTGATACATTGGCCATGAGAAGCTGTGACACTCTTACGAACGTGAAGGAAAAATAATATGCGCGACGTGAAAGCGAAAGCCACATGTTGAAAAGAAACCACCCTGATTCAGTGAAACTCTTGCAACTGTTCAAAACGAATGCACGCGGCGCTAAGGCGAGAATCACATTTTGAGGACCCCCCGCCCTCAATCCGTGAAACCCTTATATGGTTCAACACAGAATGTGCGCGGCGCAACAACCGAAGATCGCATTTCGAAAGCCACCCGCTCACAGTCCGTGTAGCCCGTGCAGCTGGTTTAAAGCAAATGTACGCGGCGCTGCAGCGAGAGCTGCATTTTGAAAACCAGCCGCCCTCGATCCGTGAAGCTCTTGCAAATGATTAGAACGAAGGTGCGCAACGCTGAGGCGAGAACCACATTTTGAAAACCACCCGCCCTCAATCCGCGAAGCTCTTGCAACTGTGTAAAACGAATGTGCGCGGCGCAAAAAAAGAAAGCACAGTTTGAAATCCACCCGACCTCAATTCGTGAAGCCCTTTCATTTTTTAGCAGAAATGTGCGCGGCGCTGAAGTGAACACCACATTTTGAAAACGGCACGTCTTCAATCCGTGAAATTTTTGCACGCGTCCACAACAAATGTGCGCGGCGCTACGGCGATAAAACACATTTTGGAAACGGCCCGCCCTCCATAATCTTAAGTTCATCAAGCTTGAAGAAATATTTAGCAACACGCCCGCACGGCCCGCAATTTCGACCGGCCTCGGGGTGCGACACGGAGGGGTTATCCAGAAGGAAGAGAAGGAATCGTGGAGGAGGAAAAGGAGGAGGAGGAGCGGGCGAGAGTGGACCGCGGTCGCCGCCCTCTCTTTCTTATGGCCGTCCCCTCCTCTTCCTCCTTATGTATGATGGCCTCCCTCCTTTCCCCCCCCTTTCTCCTGTTTGCCTGTCACTCTACTTTTGTGTTCAGCCGGCGACTCCTGGTGCGACCTCTCCAGGAGTCGCCTGGCTCTAGCTTGATCGCCCCCCAAGGCGGAGTGGCTACGAGGAGGAGCGGGAAGCGAAGAGCGAGGAGCAAGGAGCAAGGAGCGAGGAGCAAGCAGCGAGGAGCGCGGAGCGACTAGGAGAATGATGATGATGATGATGATGATGATGATGATGATGATGATGATGATGATCATGATGATGATGATGATGATGAGGAGGAGGAGGAGGAGGAGAAGGAGGGAGAGGAGGAGGAGGAGAAGAGAGAGGTGGAGGAGGAGGAGGAAGAGGAGGAAGAGGAACAGCGAGGAAGAGCAAGGAGGAGCAGGAGGAGGAGCAGGAGGAGGAGCAGGAGGAGGAGGAGGAAAGAGGAGGAGAAGGGGGATGAGGAGGAGGAGTGAGGAGGAGCGAGAAGGAGCAGGGATGTGAAGGAGGAGGAGGAGGATCGAGACGCGAGGAGCGAGGAGCAGGAGGAAGAGCACAAGGAGGAGGAGGAGGAGGAGGCGGAGGAGAAGGATCATGAGAAGGAGGAAGAACGAGGAGGGGGAAGAGCAGGAGGAGCGAGGATCGGGGATCGGGGATCGAGGGGTCAGGAGGTGGAGGAGAAGGAGGAGAAAAAGGAGAAGGATGTTGATGATGATGCAGATGAAAGAGGATGAGGATGAGGAGGAGAAGGATGAGGAGAAGGAGGAGGAGACGGAAGAGAAGGAGGAGGAGGACGAGGAAGAGGAGGATAAAGACGAGGAGGAGAGTAAGGAGGATGAGTAAGAGCAGGAGGAGGAGGAGGAGGAGGAGGAGGAGGAGGAGGAGCATAAGGAGGAGGAGGAGGAATCGAATGGAATGGAATGGAATGGAATGGAATGGGCTCGATGACGAAGTCATGCCGAAATAAAAATTAGAGTTTGGCCTTGGGCCTAAGGCACCTCTCAAAACGGTCCAAAAACTCCCGCCGCTTCTTGAAAATATGTTGGGGATCGCAGGGCAGGGCCAACCCGCGCATAACGAGTTCCCCAAAGAACCCGCAACTCCCGCATATCCAAACACCAGAATCCAAAGAAAAAAGCCTTATCATGCGAGCTATGAGCGACCCCCCCCCCAAAAAAAAACATTAACTCTAAACCCCCGCGGAGGCTTGAGAGCCCGTCCTGGCGCCTGAAGCTCCGCGCACGGCGAGGCCAGCCAGGCCGTCCTGGCGGCCGCCGATGCAGAGCATCTACACCGCGTGCACCTCGCCCCCGCCTCGTCCAGCAGATGGACGGAGGCGAAGAGGGCGACGGCGGCAGGAGGGGGGGGGGGGGGGGCAGGCGGGGGCAGAGCAGCAGCAGCAGCAGCAGGAGGGCGCTCAGACGAATTTTCAGCCCGACGCACCTGGGCGGAAGCTTCCATCGCAGCCAACGTGGACCTCATTAATCGTCTTCGCACCAGCCTCGCCATACTCTCTGCCCCGGTCACTCGAAATATACGGGCTTCAGCAACTCTGGAATTCTGGGCGGCGACTCTGGCGAGTTCATCGGCGGCCTCGTTACCTGCAATCATCCAGCTGGGGCAGCGACGAAACACGTTGTCGGACGGAACGACATGCGATGTCACTTGTAAGACCACAACCGAACCGATGCGAGCCTTCAACAGCACACCGATCTCTCTCCAAATGGACGCGAGGGCGCCGCACGGCCGTTCGCATAGCCGCCCATGCCAAGCCCTGGCGACCTCGTCATTGTCAGTAGTGTAAATCATGTCCCCAAGAGACAAACGAATGGCCAACTCGAGGCCTCTCAACTCCCCCCTCGCGACGGACTGGCGTCGCCCAGTGAGAGGACCGAAAACGACAGGCCCGAGAACAAAGGGAGACAAAGACAGCGCCGAGCAGATGCCAATACCGACTCTCCTCAACCTTTCATCCCTCACCTCCTTCCCAGCAGAGGCATCACCAAAAACGTAAAGAGGAGCATGCTCCGCGCCCACGCCCAGGGCGCCTGGGATGAGCTCGTTGGCCAGCAGGTCAGCGTGAAGCCACTGCTCTTGCTCGGGCGGCGGCGGCACTGCTGTCCAGCTTGCGGGCAGGAGCCCACGATGCCAAAAGCATGTCTCGCTCTGGCCTTGGGATAAGGCCTGCGGCACAAGCTGATCTGAGTCGGAGAAGGTGGGATGACTCGCGTTGCTGGGGCACAACCAGTGACGATGCTCGGGTGTCTCGGGCGTGGACGGACGTTTGGCGAGTTTGCAGCGAGGGCACTCATTGACGGCAATCAAACCTTCCTGAAACTTCCTGTCCTCGGCCCAACATCCACCCGTAGCAATGCACACCATAACCTCCGCTAGCTGCCTACCATGTTTGGCCCCCTCGAATTGGCGAAGTAAGATACGGAGAGAAAAATTGCCCACTCCTCCTGAGATACCCGACCCGCAAAAATGCTGCTCAGCTGCAGCCCATTGCTGCATGGCCAGGGACTCTTGAAAGTCTTCCAAGAGACCCTTGGCCTCGTCAACTGAAACTAGCGCATCTGCTGGGAAGGTCCATTGAAAGTCAAATTCGCCTGTCGAGAGCCGCGGGCCTTTCCAGTCGTCGGGTGTGGAGGGGGTCCAACCTGCAGACACCAAATGCGTCACAACAGCCGGGATGGGACCTCGAATGTGCCTCGATCGCTTATTAATATCCGTGGCTGCCAGGTCCCTGTGGACCCCATCACAAACACGAAAAATACCCGCATGCGATTCTGGAAACCTGATCCAACAATCAAGCCAAGTCTTAATGCACGATGACGGCAGAGTGACGCCTGGGCCCCGCCCAGGTGCACGAATATCTAGGAGCGTTGTGAGGCACTTGCCCTTTCTGCCAGAGCCAGCCACTGCACCTAAGCGCTGCCGAAGACGCTGTAACTGCTGCCCCGTCACTCCGTAGATGTCTAGACCATAATTAGAACAAGCTTGAGGCCCAACAAGTTCAATCTTTTTGTAACCGTGTATCGTCGAGCTGTACGTGCAAAACGTTTAAGCTTACGATGCTGCTGCGCCCCCTTCATGACCCGCAGCCTCCTCGTCTGCCTAGCCTGCCTCTTGCCCCCCCAAAAAAAACAAATCAATGCCCATATAAGGAAACTGGAGGACGGGGCTGATCTGAACTCCACGGCGTTTCAACCGAGAAGCGATCTGCTGGGCAACGACGTGCAGCGGATTGAGTACGACGCTCTTGTCCGCAAGATTGAGCCCGTGCTCTTGCATGGACGTGGACGCCATATCCACGACAGCGACGGTGGAATCTTCGACAACCCTACGCGACCCCAATATTTGAAGCATAAGATCGTCAATCCAAATCCTACGCGATGCCGAAATGGGGAACCTGGGATACCCGCTCCAAGGTAAAATAAGTTAAACATCTAGCAAAGCGTGTACCGTTACGTAATCCCTGAACCACAGACTTAGAGGGTTGAAATGCCTGGCTGCTGGCCCCGCTCTGGGAGAGAATACGCGGATCCATGCACAACTGCAGCTCCAGCGCCATGACAACCGACGGAAATCCTAAACGCGTAGCTGTACCAACCAATATATCCCATAAAATAGAATCGTAGAAACTCTTAATATCCAGAATTGCCCGGCTAAACGTAAGCCCCAAACGATGGTAGACCTCGGCGTCAAGGGCCCTCCGAAACGCTTCCCTCAACGCCGAGTTGCCTGAGATGGCCGCGCCCCAA